ACTATTTACTATCATTATAATATCTAATGATTTCATAATTTCGAAAAACAATTTTTTATAGCAAGTGAGTGGAAGCAAGCCTGCTTGGCATTTCGAAAAACTCGTAAAAAAAAATCTGAATCTATGGAATGTTCACAGGAACAATTTTTCAAGTATTGGGGAGGTAGCTTCTCCGCGAAAATGCTGAACACCACATGAAGGTACTGAAATCACGGATTTTATTTTCTTACATATCACTGGAGTTGGTTAGTTGGCGTTCTCGGAAACCTGGAAAATATTTTCTGATCTCAGAAATGGCCATAAGAAACATCCTTCAAGGCGCAGTATCGGGGAAGGCCGGTTCAACATAAGAATGCTGACCATCATATTTCCAAGTCTACGTACTCCCGACAGTCCCGACCGACATGTGTAGAGAGGAGCACATCATGCTGTAGACTGAAACTGATCGATGCGTCGGTCCGGTTTATGAAAATCGAAAATACGAACAACTGTTGCTCATATTCGGTTTTAGTACACGTCATTGCACTGTTTCTGTTCGTACACTACCAAGGATAAGTTCGGGAGCACATAAATGAAAAATTAAATTCTACATCACCTAGCCTATCCGACCTTGATTTGGATATGAAGGATAAAATGATATGATGCATAAATGTTGATGATATCAGGCGTAACATTTGATAACGGCACAAAAAGTTTTGTAAACACAAGTTTGTAAGGCCCTTTACACGTGAACCGAAGTACGCCCTCGTAATCCAACAACATCATCGGCTGGGGGACACTTTCCCCTTTCCGATAATTGTATTGGTTTGCGTGGGCGTACTTCGGTTCGCGTGTAAAGGGCCTTACAACTTTTGTTTACAAAAGTGTTTGTGCCGTTATCAAATGTTACGCCTGATATTCTTTGAAACTTTCTAGAATAATTTTGTAAAGTACCTTTTCGCTGATGTTAGATATGAGAGATACATGATAGTGAAACATCTAGGGAACCCCACATTTATAAACAGTAGTGTACGCTAAGCTGACGACGTTCTTCGCGAAGCAAATAAATATTTCTTCTTCTGAAAGTAGGGATGATCACATCTAATGAGAATGATATGTATCGTAGTCGCAAGTAATTGTGGCTTTTCATATCTGCCGGAAATTGACTTGACTATCTGTATAAAGTTGCCGAGGTTTGTCAAACTAACCAAAAACTATTACTATTACTTCTATTACAGATAATACGTCAGTATAATTCGATAATAGCTAAACAACATTATTTCAGGAGTCTTTTAGTGTAAAAATTATAAATTATAATCATGAATGTCTCAAAAAACAGGTTGCTCTGATTTTTTATATCAGTTAGAAAATTAGCGGAAGCGATAATCGCTATCAAAAATGTTCCTTGTGGATTAACTAAAATGTGCCCAACTCTGAACAAAGCATTACCTTTTTACAACAGTTGAGAAATGTTTTCACTTTATCAATAAATGCTACTGACATTTGGAATAAAGCAATTGCCTATGTTGTAACTAACTGATGCATTTTTTTCTGCTGATATAAGTTATTAAAAGTTTCAGAACTCATCATAGCAAAGTCTTGTCATTATCGGCTGTAATATCGTAATTTTTAATTGAATCAGCTCGGTGAGATCTACATCTTACAACAAATCACACCGTCAATAGGGACTCTATCCGCATCGCGGAGCTTTTTGAGGTATTGGCAATTATACCATATGAAGTTTTGAATGTGATTCTTAGATACGGAAATCAATAATACCTGCTGTGTAGATTATATAGTCAATATCAAAGTGGGAGGATATTTTGCTTATTGCTTGTATTGCTTCCCAAACAATATTTATATGTTTACTCCAAACAAAGAAAACACAAGTAACCTAGCTAGTTTCATCGACCTGCAGAGAACACTATGTTTCCCAGTGCATATTTGGACCCATTGTCATTCAGGGCGAAATGGAGGATGTAGGGAAAGGCATTTTATTTCTTGATGACCTTTTTCATTATCAACAACTTGAATTATTTTTTGCTAAACATACGACACCACTATTCACATGCTTCAGTCAGCCGTCCGCAAAAATCATGTGAGCCGAAAGCTTCTCGCGCGCATTCGTGTTTAGTACAGTTTTTTTTCTTTCCCATGCCTTGTTCGCCATGTACCGGTATATCGGGAAAATGGTATGCATGAAATGAAAATGGAAAAACGATGCGAGGAAAGTCGGAAAATTGTACTTTGAAGTACACCAAAAGATTCCTGACATTCTCACGAATCTTCTAGTATATAATTATCTGGTACTTTAGAATAAAGATCACGAGCTATCAGAGGGGAAAGATAGAACATGGTGTCTACACCTATGCAATCACGTGGCCGGAATTGGGTGGTCTTCATGTCGGAAAAACAACCCAGTTTTTTTGTGGGTTGGATTTTCCCAAAAATTTTCCAACTATCATGTTGCCAGAAAGTTATGCTAGAACGTAGTGTGCTTCGATTTTTCGATTAGCTTATTTTTCCAGCTCATTTTTGCGGGTTTTCCTAGATGTTCTAAAAAATTCCAGCAAGGGAATAATATCAATAATACTTCCAGACGGGGGCCTTAAGGGGAGGTTTACTTGGATTTGGCTGAAAAACAGTTGAACTTTGGAATTTTTTTTCAGGAGAATGAAAAGACATACGAACTTCCAGTTTCGATAATTATATTTGTCCACTATTCCTGAATACTTGGAAATTTTTTGAAGGTAAAAAAACAAAATGGCGGCTCGCGTGGAGGAGTGTCAGTCAGGTTTTGCTGCAGAAATTCGAGTGCACAACCTCTGGTGGTGAACTGAAATGAATTTTTTTTATTGTGGTTAAAGTTGATAATATTCCCTATGGCTTATACCTAACTAGAACGAAATCCGACAAAAATTGACCAAATTATGGACATTTGAAAATTTAGTGCTTTTTTTACCCCTTTTTTGCTCACTTTGACCTTGCTTAAAAAATAGTAACTAACAATTTTTTTTCATTTTAATTATAAGCCATACAAAAAATAGTATCCTTCAAAGCGCAATTTTCCGATTGTAAATCGGATCATTTGTTCAAGCCCTATGCTCTATGTTGTTATAAAAAATATGGTTTCGAGAAAAACGCGTTTAAAGTTTTTGTAGCGTCCCTCAGCGCGCATGACAAAGGTTCACTCAAAGCGCCATAACTCGCTAAATATGTTTCGGATCGTAAAATCCTTTTGGCCACATATTCTACACACTTGAAGCTTTCATTTTATGCAAAAAAAATCAATTTTTTTGAAAAAATCCAAGTAAAACTCCCCTTAAATTATGTATAAAACCAATTACGATTGGTTAAATGGAGCATTACAAAAACGCAGCTAAATTTTTACCTGGATGATGAATTTGTTTCTGCGTTCGATCTTCAAAATGTTTCTATGTTTTAACTACCTAGAAAATTTAAAATTATCTCTGCTGAGTTCTTCAGAAAATACGCTTGGAATTCTCGTTAGATAACTCTAAAACAAATCTATTGATAGAACACTACCAAAATTAAGGACTTGAGTGATGCAACATTTTAGGTACAAGTGGGGTATAATGCGCTCCCCAAATTGTAGTGTGGAAAGCATAACCATCAGGCGTGTACCTTTGAAATTTAATAGAGAAAGAACGTAGATAAAGCCTAAATGTATGCTCCCTGTACATGGAATTAGACAGTGTGCAGAATTGTGGCGGCCTCCCTTAGCTCAGTCGGTAAAGGCGCAGTTACAAAGCAAGATCTTGCTTGAGGTGTCTAGATTAGATTCCCGGTTTGGTCTATTTCCGAGTATAAATTGCCACACAATTATACTAAAATGCAAAAATGGTACAGGCATCGAAAGCTCTCAAATGATAACTGTGGAAGTACATCTAGAACACTAAGTTTGAGAGCACGTAATAAGCTAATATGCGAAAAGCAATAAACTGAAAATGCGAAGAAGCAGAATTATGGCGGTTTACGTATTATAGTAGAACACTTAATTTCATTAGCTTGGTGCACAGTCTATGCAATTCCATGTTTTCCACGATGTTTTAACCATAGCGTCAATATTCAACAATTGAAACCAACCAATGAACAAATTAGTACCAATGAAAGCAAATTACTAATAACCAATATTATTTGATCGGTCCATGGGCTGAACGTCGCTATAAAACTTATAGATTGCCCAGAAAATACTCACCGTCCGAGCCAATACCAATCTTTGCTACAACCATGAAGCACCAACCATGTCCTACCGGGCGTGATTTCCTGCAACCGTTCACACTTCCACAAAAGGAGCCCACTAATTGAGTTATCCGCTGTTAATTTCACGTATTACCCGTCGATCAACCGCCCCGGCCGAGTTGAATTTCCTTATTTATCGCCTTTTTCTCACACTTTGCGCTACCGTTTTCGGCCGTATCACGTTTCATCAATTGGTTTGATTGTGACAGAACGTGTGCTTATTCTGTAACGCACTCGCACTCTTCAATCGTCAGCTCTGCTTTTTTCCTCCATTCGTTCCATGTCAGCGTGTTTCTGCATTTCAGCTCCAATTTGCAGCTTTGTTCCATGATGATTTCAAAAAAGGAATAATTTGTACCACGGTCTGCCCTGTACCTGCATTTTATGGAGTGGTGTTGAGCAGTTTGCGTTTTTGTTTCATGTTCTTCTGCTGCACCGACCCGGAGCGGCGATGGATATGGTGGTTATGCTCAATTACGTCAAGCTTTGCAGCCACCACCACGAGCAGCACCGGCATTGGTACCTATATCCAAATTTGGTAGAACAAATCAATTTGATCATAATTATGCTGTTATAGTTTCTTTCCTTCTTTCGTTTGGTACGCACGTGGGGTCCGAATGCTGCAGTGTGCAGAAGTAAAACGATTGGTGAAATCGCGTGCAGAAGATTAATTTGCACTTCTCCGTCTCTGGGAGACCGCACGGCGCGCTTTGGTGGTCAGGGATTCTTCTTTCCATTCAAAATGTGCTCATGTTACCTTCAATATTATATAGCAGGATAGCGTGATATTTATTGCATATTCTAATTATTCTTAGCTACAAAAACAGGCTAACAAATGTAACTGTCGCAATAGAGTAATTTCCCCACTCCTCCTCAACCACCCGTATGGTTCGGTTATGTCCCGCCTATTTCCTGTCCCAGAAGGGATAACTGCTTCAAAAATTGCTTCGCATTGGTCAACGTAGATGCACCGTAGATTATCCTGCGATTGCTGTTGGCTGTTTGTTTCGTTTTGATAAAATCTACCAAATTCTGATACTCGATGTAGTTGCCACCGCCGACCATGAATACAATGGCTTCTTGGAATGGAGCGCGATTTTTCGGGACAATGTCACCTCCCTTGAGTAGCTTGGGATCTAAATACAGATAGTCGTCCACCTCTCCACCGGCTCGGCACTCCATCAGCTGTTCGGTGATTTTCGTGACGGGAAGGTTCTGGAAGCGGGTTTAAAATTTACTATGGCAGTTCGCTCAAACACGGTTTTCAATGACTTACATGTCTTTTGACTACCAAATTTTTAACGCCTTCCATCACAAAGGACGACCCTTGAGTGACCAACTTGGAGAACATCGAAACTGTCTTCGTTCCACTTCCCTCGTATTGGTTCGGGTTTGTCACTGTGCTCTTCATTATGCTCCTAGGGGATAAAGATGACAAAATGATAATGATAATGGTAATAATGAATTTGAGGCAATGTCAACCTTTTAACATTTATAAATTTTATTAGTTGATTTGTTAATCTATCGGCTACTAAAACTAAATAGTTTTATTTCAATATGTTTAACCATTGGAAGCACAGGTTACCAAAGGTTGATTCCGAAGACCTCCAGACTATCAGAGTATGGAATTTGTCGGAAGAGCTTCAGGTGGATTTTTAATATTCATAAGACCTTTAGAGCTTCAGTTATCTTAGTTAGCTCGTTACCGTAGGAGTTGAACAGGACTGTATAGCTAACAGTTGATTTTGATCGGATAATCCCGTGGAATTAAACCGGCTAAATCAAATGCTAAAAATAAGAACCTGAATTTATCCACATATGGTGTGATCTGACTCGTTTTTGCAACATATCGGGTGAGATCTTTCCTTAATTTTTCTATTAATTTTCATGAAATATTATATATTAGTGATGGGTAAACCGATTCATTACAGTGAGCGGTTCAGAACCATGTGTTCAATTTAATGAACCGCATCATCTGAATGGCCAACAGGCCTGGGTTCAATCCCAGTCGGCGCCGCCGGGATGTTCTGAGGCATAACATCTCTGATCACGCCTTCCTTCGGATGGGAAGTAAAGCCGTTGGTCCCTGGTTCATGAGTTGATGGGTCGATAGGTAGGGTCCAGGTGTGGGAGCTGCCTTCCTGGCACGTCGGTAGCATTGGTGCTCAGCACGGAAAACAAGATCGACGGAAAAAACAAACCAAAGAAAAAAAAAAATCTGAATGGCTCGCCGGCCCTTTTTAAATAAATGGTTAGTTAGGATCGTGTTATAAAGGAAGAGACAATAAATTAAGAAAAAGTTAATGTCAGTATTAAAGGAAAAGAATAAAACACATGCAGGGTTGCTTCCAATCGCTTGCTATAAAAAAAATGTTTTTCTGAATTATAAAATCATTAGATGTTATTATGATATAAAGTATGTGTTTAACACATGAACCTTGTCAATGTCACTTTCAGAGTGCCACAATCAGCGATTTTATGATTCGTGAGCGTTCACTCAGTGTGAGCGCTCACGAGTCGTAAAATCGTTGGTTGTGACTTTCTGAAAGCAAATTTGACTTGGTTTATGTATCAAACACTTGCCTTTCAACGTCATCTTGTATCCAACAAGTACAAACTATCATTATAACATCTAATGATTCCAAAATTCCAAAAATCATTTATTTTATAACAAGCGAGTGTAAGCAAGTCTGCTTCAGATCAAGTTGTACTTCTCCTCTGTTGCACCAGTGTTCTAAATTTAAAAAATCGGGAAAAAATTTACTCACTGGATTTTCGATGAAAATCGAGAAGAAAATACTCACGCACTGAGATGTCCACATTCAATTGGTTCTTGACACCCCTTCCCATCCCCTGCGTGGATAAGTATCCATCAAATTTTTAAAAATGGTTATGGACCGTGTACATTTGTCAACCCAAAGGTTCTACGTAGTTTATGAACAAAACCTTAAACTTTCCACGTGGTATACTGCCCTGTGCGGCATAACAGTCCCATTAGAATTTTTGATGAAAATGAGTTATACATTGAAATCAGTTGTCAAGTACCATCATTTTACAATGTACACGCAAAGCTTCTTACTTTGTTCAGAAAATGTCGCGAAAATACCAAAACTATGTTGTCCCATCCATAAGAGCCCATGAAGAAAAAATAACTTCAACAGCATTTTCGCAGCTTGCTGTTTTAACGAATGGGACAACTATGCTGAAAAGGGCAGTATATGTGCAGCCCCTAACTCATAGACGTAGCTAGAGAGGGGCAACCGCCCCCCCCCCTAAACTCAGCAACACAAAGGCTTTCGGGGAAATGGCGTTCGGTGAAATGGCATTCGGCCAAATTTTCCATAGTAAATTTTTTTTTCGCCCCTCCCTAGCTCGAAACCTGATTTAAGACAAGCAGTGGTGAAGAAATCTGCCCGTTTCAAAATGTATATGCATCCGTTTCTTGCTTAAAGCTGGGTGTAGACAATGCAAATAAATTGATCATCTAAGTTGAATTCAACTGACTTGAACGCGAATTGAAAGTGTAAACCATGCCATTCAACTGACGTGATCAACTCACTTGAATTGAAAAAAGTTTAACTAGCTCATTTTCAAGCCAATTTAATACAACTGAGTTGATCACTTGCTTTGTCTAAACCCAGCTTAACGATAGACACAACCGGTGACATTCTTTTATGAAAATGTCCACGTTAGGTTTTTGCATACTTGAAGGCGTAAAATCATGCCGCACACTTCAATCTTACTCAGAGAGAGAGAGAGTAACTTCTACTCAGGTGGAAGAAAAATTTCTAAAAACGTAGGTTAGGGGCTGTCCATAAACCCTACACCGCACATGGCCGTTCAATCTTACTCAGAGAGAAAGTAACTTCTACTCAGGTGGAAGAAAAATTTCTAAAAACGTAGGTTACTCAGCGCCAGTGTCTGTTTTTATCACACACGCAAGGAGTAGCGCTTCAACCCAGTGTCGATGAATTGCGTTTGTTTTGAACATCTTCGTAGTTACGAAACGAGCGAAATGAACAAATGAGTTTATTATACATCAACGAATACGCGTTTGTTGATATTCACCAGTGCTCGATTATCAAACCCAAAATTGTCAAAATCAGAAGTGATCCTCAAAAGCAAAATAGGGTATACGTCCCTAACCTCGGTCTAATATGCAGCCATCGATTACGTTTTTAATCATAACTCATCAATGAATTTACCTGCAAACGATATTCTACTTGGTTGGAAATGCTAACATGAAGCTTTAGTGTGATGATTTATTAGCTGAGATATTCTACTGCTAAATGGTATGCTTAGATATGCTTATCATGTCGTTTGCTATCAGAAACCACGAAAAGTTGAAAAACTTACTTTTTTTAAGACAATAACTCACGAGGGAAATGTATGTAATATGGGTCTATTGTCCCCAAATTGGGTCTATTTATGGATGCAACTTCGTCCTATCTTGTTTGATCCTCAAAAAAACGCTCTTGGTAACGTTTTCTGATGTATTTTTTTTATCACTATCACTGTTAACTTAATGCTCTTCATTCCTCAAAACATTTCTTAGAGAAAATTTTACGAAAACTACATTAAATCACTCAATTTAAAAATTAAAAATTAAAAATTTCGCTTATCGTCTTTTGACCGCAGAATATCTAAATCAGAACATTGTGATGTTCATTATACAGGTTTGGCAGAAAAAATCTCCCTTCCTGTTCGTTCCTTATCATCCAAATGCAAAACAACATTGTTGACGTTACTCTTATTGCTATATGCTGTCAAATGAATTTCATGGGCCATAGTTAGGAACATAGAAAAGAAATGTGTCCCTAAAGTTGGGTCCATGTTTTACTTGTGAAAACGTTGTTAAACAATTAAAATAAACATAAAATATTCAAACAGCAACTGTAAGTTTTACGTCTAGTGTGTATTATCAGGTAATTCCAATCAATAAATGCCATAATCAGGCCATTTGATGATCGTCAGTCAACCTTCCCATCTTAACCTTATAAGTCATGGCGGCTAAAAACTCCGAACATTGTGATATTCTCAACCAGTTTTATTACTTACGAGAGCTGAAAATGTATTGAAATGTTGTGATATAAATTGATTTGTGTGTGGTACACATTTATCAACCATCAGTGATCAATATTTTCCTTATTTTTTGTGTAATATTCCTTAATTAATTATTTATTTGCGTGATAGGCCGAATGAAAGGACTAGACCCACATTACATACCGTAACCCTAATCAACGAAATTTTGGGCAAAATGATTATTTTGAATATTGTCGACCACACTGCCTTAATCATCGATATTATCATCAGTTCAGCTTGAGGCAATAATTTGCCGTCGACTTATGTCTAAAAACCACGTTCTTCAGCGCTATATTTGTTTAAAATGAAAATAATCATTTTGCATTTGATCCTCAATATCATCCCGCCCAAGATGAAGACGAATATCAATATTTACAACAACAGAGGCGATAATGAGAATCCAGCCACGAATGAAGAAAAACAAAAAATGTTATTTTTGATACTCAGGGGTTGCCTAGATCAAGGGAATTTGTTTATATCAAAATTCAAATTCATGCAGGTAGTTGGTCTATCTGTTAAGGTTTTCTTCATATTCAGCTAAATTGAGTGTAGAAGAAAGGATTTTTATCAGCACTGCTCAGCGCTGAGTCACCTACGTTTTAAAAAGTTTCTCTTTCATACCAAAACCAACAAACCGACATGAAACTTAAACTTAACTCTTGATCGAGAATCCATAACGGCCAGTTCAAATGTGCAGCGATCCCATCTATCCAAACCATAGAAATTTTTTATCTAAAAACATAATTTGTGAAATAGATTAAACACGAACCAGCTCATAAATTGTATAGACGTGTTTTTGACTCGAACGTGATTTGTGATAAACTCTATCCGCGAACACAAGGAAAGCAGTAAGTAGCGTCGTATTTTCCCCAAATTTCGCGTGACGTACTTTCAGCCGCTGATAAGACGAGACTCTTTCACGAAATCCCCATGCAACTGAGTAAAAGTGAGGTAGTCTCAGTCGAGCAGCCGTATAACTTACTCGGGGTTTCGTTGTACAATGCTATTGTTCTGTGCCTCAAGTTGCAATTGGTGTTTTTTTTTTATCGTTCAAAATGGGCCAAAGGGTCTCAGAATATGAACGAAATACAAAATTCAAAAAAGGTCGGAAAAGGTTACTCAATTGATGAGCACATCCAGTTTTTGCAAATTTGCTTGAATTCACCTCAACTTTGAGTCGATCGAGCGGAAAACTTCAATTAAAATTAATGGGAACACGGCAAATGAGAACGACCCAAAATTTGAGTTTAGTTCACTCATAATCGCCAAAAGTGCAGGAACTCAGCGATGAGTAAAATTTGTCTCATGTTTTCCCAGGTTTTTTCCAGAATTTTCCAGGGAAAAATTCCCGAATTTGAGAAAAGTAAAGATTGGATTCACTAAGTCTATTGGTACTACTCCGAGACTGAATAAAATTTTCGTCAATTTCCTCATTTTCCGGCAGATTTTCTAGGTTCTCCACAGGAAACCATGAGACAAATTTACTCATCGCTGAGTTCCTGCACTTTTGGCGATTATGAGTGAACTAAACTCAAATTTGGGTCGTTCTCATTCGCCGTGAAAATTAATCACCCCCATTTTTTTTAAATCCCCAATTTTAAGTGATGATAAATTTAAATAAATATTCACTCACACAAAATTCAGAATAAAACAATAATTCTAGATAGAGCTGAACTTAGGGCCTAACAGATTTTGTAAACAATTACTTCTCTTGATGACTTTCCCTATCAGATGGTTAGGTTGGTCTGCGTGGACGTACCTTGAATTTCTAGAAATCATCGGTAGAAGTCATTGTTTACAAAAGCTGTTACGCCTTAATTCCAGCTCTATCTAGAATTACCTTTTGAACTCTGTTCCCCTCTAAAATTAATATACGAGTGACGAAATAAAGAATTAAACCAAGAATACTCACTTCCACCGCTGCAGATACGGCATCGGAGCCAAATCGCAGCCGCATTCCTTCAGCACCTGTTCCAGCTTCTGATACTCCGATTCGGGCATATTCGTACAGATGTAGTAGATGATGAACAGCCGCATCTTGTCATCCGGTGTACCGAATTCCGGATCCCTCATCAAATCAACGAGCGGTCGATCCAGCGCTTGTTTGGACATAATCTTCTCTTCGAATTCGAAGTACGAATCCAACCTTCGGGCCTTGATAAAATTCAGAACCGCCGTTGCTATCTTCGTGTGCATATCGATCAGCCGTTTCTTCTCCATCAACTGAGGCAGGGAATTGACTGCACTCGTCAGCTTGGCCGTGTTGTCATTCACCATCGAAAAAGCTACATCCGACTCTCCGTCAATTCCCATCGTTGATTTCAGCTTCTTGATTTCATCCTCCGATGAACGATACTGTTCCAGCTCTTCCTGGATAGCTTCAGCTACAGTTGGGAATGGACTTCCCTTATGCGAACTCCAGAACTTGTCCCTCGAGTCCAAATCGCAAGCCTTCATTTTGGACTTTGCCCCCGTCGAAGCTGCTTTTTCGTTATCATCCTCCACAATCACCCGATTCAGGGAAAGTTCCAGGACATCGTGCGCCAACGCTTGGTATGTCCACGTATGATGCAGCGGAGTGGCCATGTCAACATTTCGATCCATCAGGATTAGCAACGGCCGTTGAAAACTGAACGTTCCCGTCTGGGTGGCATCCATGTGGAATAGATTGTTGCGTGCATCCCATAGATTTTCTCGTAATTTTTTCTCCAACTTTCGAGCTACCATTTCAGCAGCCGTGTTCTTCGGACATCGAATAATTGGAACGCTACCCAGTGTCACAAAAACCGAAAATAAACTATCTACTATGCTGTCCATGATACCTTCCATTTCAAAATCCTGCGTATTTGCTCGGTTGATGGCTGAAAATTGAACCAAGCTTGAAGTTCTCTATTAATGAAACCGATTCAAAAATCATACCGTAATACGACAGGGAATCACTATTCTGGTGCTTCAGAACAAACATTTCATCCTCCAGTGTAATAAAATTTACGTACTGATCGTAGACTTTGTGGATATTTGCCACACATCCGGCCTGCAGTGCTGCAGCAGCCAGGTCTTCCAATCGTTGCCGGGAGATGGGTGAAATAAAATTCAAATGGTAAACGTCGTACAATCCGTTCTGGAAGTCCTGGGCAATACGTCCAAGGTTTTCCTCTGTCGGTGCACAAAAGTATATCGCCGGAACATCCGGAATCGAATCTCGATCCGAATGGAGTTGTCTACAATGAAAATAAGGAACTCAATAATGCTCAAGCAAGATTATTTTTAGTTCCAAGCAGCGCTTACATATGTAGCGTAACACCTAATTCACGTAGCTCTCTGATGGCAATTAACGGCGAAATAATATCCTGTCCCACACGATCGTAGATCAAAAGCTTCCAAACGGGTTCCGCGGCCAGTGCTTTGGTTTGGGGCTGGTTCATGTTCAGCATCTGCTTGATTGCATCTAGAAGAGAGGAATTTCATTAGCAAAAGAACACTTACTACGCTAGAAAACTTACTTATTTGCCTGTCCTTGAGGGTCAACATTGTGTTGGATGATTTAACTATTGAAATGCTAACTAAAAAAATGTATTTCTTCTGGTCTCACTCCGATATTTTAAAAGATATTCAGAGAAAAATTTCTGCTATCACTACTGCTAAATAAAATACGTTCGTGGACAAAAATATTCTAGTGACGTTGATGATTCACTGTCAAAGTAATCTAGTACATCGTAGTATTTATTCAGCACGATATACACTAATTAAGCGCCCGAGGGGATAACAGATGAGGTTTTGGTGTTTGTTGAAATATTTCACAGTAAACCTGCAGTTTCCCGACCAACCATTTCGTTAATTTTCTTTAATTTTCTTCACACGGTAACCCCAAAATACCCAATAAAGACAACAACGTAAGCATTTTCGAGGGAGACTGGGACTACCCATTAAATGAGTAAAAATATTACCCATTTATGAGTATTTGTTATTCAAACATGAATCCTTACAACTTGTTTTTGTAGTTGTAATTACTCACATATGGGTAAAATTTTACTCATTTAATGGGTAGTCCCAGTTTCCCTCGAAAATGCTTACTTTTTAGTCATTATTGGGTATTTTGCGGTTACCGTGTAAAGAAAATTAACGAAATGGTTGGTCGGGAAACTGCAGGTTTACTGTGAAATATTTCAACAAACACCAAAACCTCATCTCAGCGCAAAACAATGCATTAATGAGTAGAATTTCGCCCATTTTTAAGAAAAGTGCCTTAAATCATTTATTAAATAAAAAAACATTTTGAGTAATTGTGAGCCACAAATAAGTAACGATAATTGTGGATAATTCATTAATGCGTAACAAATGCTTATTAATGCGTAATGAGTGAGGTAAGGGGCTGTTCATAAACTACGTAGACAATTAAGGGGGGGGGGCAATTATCCGCGGCCCATACAAATTTTAAAAATTTGGTCTGGACAATTGTCTACGCAGGTTTATAAGGGGTGGGCTAGGAAACCCAAAAAACTGGCTACGTAGTTAATGAACAGTCCCTAATGAGTTAATGAGTTAAGCCTCTTTTCTTTAAAATGGGTGAAATTCTACTCATCAGTGGGTATTTTAAAGTTAACGTGTGTTGTGCATTTGTCAAACAAAACGTCAACATTGTGAGTTTCATCCGTTTGATCCCTTTGATCCTCGGTTCGAGTGGTAAACATGAACACTGAAATGACAGAATACACTTAGGTATATCTGATTTTCAATACATTAATGCATAAAAATACACTTTTATTTTTCTAATACACAAAAACTACATACATTCAAAAAATACAAAAAAAAATACATTATTACACAAAATACACGTTTATTCGATAAAAATACTTCAATACGTTCATCAATACGTTGGCCTGAATCGAAAATACACAAGTGAATCGCCCCTCGGATGCTTCACATCAATACGAACTCCATTTTTGCAAATGAGCAGTTTGGATTTCGCCATGAGCATTCAACTACTCATCAACTCTTAAGAGTTACCAATTTAATTCGTTCAAATAAATCTGAAGGTAACTCAACTGGAGTTGCTCTTCTAGACATAGAAAAAATCATTCGACAGTGTTTGGCATGAAGGTTTGATTGCTAAATTTAAAAAGTTTAATTTTCCACTTTATATTATGAAATTAGTTCAAAATTATTCAACTGACAGAACTCTGCAGGTGAATTATCAAAATTCCAAATCTGAACGATTACCTGTTAGAGCAGAAGCATAGAGGTAACTCTAAGACTAGAAGGTCCCGAAATAACGTGCTCAACTTTTTGGCTCAGCTCTGGTACTCTCTTCGGTCCCAAGCTAATCGATTCACCCCTCGAAACATAGGAAAAACCAATAACCCCTCATTTTATCTGTCAAACTTTCATAGCGAATCAAAACAAACATTGCGTAGTACTAGAATTTCGACTAGAATGGGGTACGTTAATCGTTTGCTTGGGACCAATAGGCTATTCAAGTAGTGAATCAATTTAAAATCGTTAGTTTCCACCGGTTGGTAGCATTCTTGGGCCTATATTGTATAACATTTTCACTTCGGACCTCCCTGATTTGCCTCAGGGCTGCCACAAATCTTTGTTCGCTGATGATACAGGCATTTCCGCTAAAGGAAGAAGTCTTCGTGTTATTTGCAGCAGACTGCAGAAAAGTTTAGATATTGGGCCGTATGAATAAAAAGAGTTTACTTTACTTTCCCGTGCTTTTCTTACGGGAAAAGTAAAGTAAACGCTTTTATTCATACGACCTATTTTCTCTTCTTATTTACAAAAATTGAAGATTTCTCCCAACGCTTCCAAAACTCAACTTATAATATTTCCACATAAGCCTAGAGCTTCGTTTTTGAAACCTAGTAGTAGCACAAACGAAGTGACAGACGGAGCGGCTCGAAAACTTTGGTGACTAACCTGCTATTTCAATTTTTCAGTGTACCACATGGCAACACCACTACTACTGGATTGTACCACATGGCAACACTACTACCCTACTACTGGATTGTACTAGCATTTTCGCCAAATGTATTAGAATGTTTTGGTTCTATCTCTTTCACTCTATTCAAAACTGAAATGCATAAAAAAAATGACAAAATGATACGCACTCTTTGCACACTGTCAAAGAATCATTGAACACAAAATCAACTTTGTTCAAATCAAAACAAAAAAAACTAACCCATCTGGTGAATGATGGCACAAGCTTCCAAGAAAATTCTATTACAGTTAACCACATTATTTTAATGGATTTCTTCGCCAGTAAGTCGTCTGTCACTTCGTTTGTGGTAGTAGCATAGAGGTAACTCTAAGACTAGAAGGTCCCGAAATAACGTGCTCAACTTTTTGGCTCAGCTCTGGTACTATCTTCGGTCACAAGCTAATCGATGCACCCCTCGAAACATTGGAAAATCCACGAACCCCTCATTTTATCTGTCAAACTTTCACAGCGAATCAAAACAAACATTTTGTAGTACTAGAATTTCGACAATAATGGGGTACGTTAATCGATTTGCATGGTACCAATGGGCTAGTCTTCTTCTTCTTCTTCTTTTCCTTTTTTAACGTCGGTCTCTGTTCCGCAATCTAGTGCCAATCACTGACGTACATCGATTGCCATCCATTGACGGCAATCGAATGTGCAGATTGCCATCCATTGACGGCAATCGAATGTGCAGGAAGGCAGCTTCCAAACCTGCGTAGGATATCGCACCCATTCATCAGCACACATGGGCCGGGACCAACGGCTTTACTTCCCCCTTCCGAAGGAAGACGTGACCAGAGGTTTTTATGCCTCAGAAAAATCCCAGCGACCTCGACTGGGATTGAACATAGACCCATTGGGGTGTTAGAAAGCAGTCACGCTTACCACTACACCACCGGCGCCGGCATAGGCTAGTCAATTAGTGAGCCAATTTAAAATCGTTAGTTTCGAATTGATTGCGCACTTGACATCGGAAATCACTGTGTGATAATAGAATACCTTTGTGGAAATAAGTGTAACATCTAGAAGCCAACGCAAGAGTGCAGAAACTGCCACGAAATTGGGCAGTCACCATAAGGGCTCACCATAAGAGCTACCAACCAGCCAGCTGAACCACTAGGAAGCGCTAAACGTGAAACTCACTCCCCAAATAAAAATCAAACACAAAATTCTCGAGAATCAAAACACTCCCACGCAAACTAACAATGCCATTCGATAAAGAAAATTTGCTCTATCAGATGATGGTGTTAGATTGCTTATATGTGCTTTGATTCTCAAGGAATTTGCGTTTAAAACCATTGTTTACGTTTGGTTATTCCGCCTATTTCAATTGTTGGTCTAGAATTCCGGAAAACTTTGAGATTTGGGCGTAATTGCTTTTGTAAGAAAACACGGCCATCACCGATTTCGCGCGAATAAAAGAAGAATCTCGCGAACAAATTATACCAAATGATAGAGGAACCACTCCTCTACCTGTTTGTGTTCTTAGTTTTTGAGATTGAGCTTTAATTCGCGAGAAATCGTCAAATGACGTGTTTGTTTACAAAACCAATTACGCCCTAATCTTGAAGTTCTCCGGTATTATCGATTAGATCATTAGATGTATTCAACTTTTTCTTAAAACTATAACATGCAACTATCAACTCAAGATCAACAATTGAAATGGCCTTAACTCCATTTTGTAAAAAAAAACCTTGTAAGGCCATTTCAAAAACAACATCTGCAAAGGGCATACAAGCTTTTTATGAACAAACCTTCTTATGCCCTTTTCTCGCCACCCATTTGACATCAACGCAAACCATTAACATTAGCGGGTAGGGGAAGCTTTCCCCTTCCCGATGATGTTGTTGGTTTGCGTGGGCGACCCTCGGTTGGCGAGAAAAGGGCATACAAAGGTTTGTTTACAAAAAGCTTGTATGCCCTTTTCACATGTGGCTCTTGATTTTCTCGCGAACCGAAACCTTCATTCGCAAACCTAAACCATAAACGGGTAGAGGAGAATTTCCCCTACCTGTTCATTTAGTTGATTTGCCTTGGCGGACTTCGGTTCGCGAGAAAATGGTCTTACAAGGTTTGTTTACAAAATGGAGTTAAGGCCATTTCATTTGTTGGTCTTGAGCTGACAGACTACAAACTTAAACTAATCTTATGAGCTTAAGAACTCATTAAAAAACATTAAATTATTAGTGGCACCTCGAGTGGCACGTTAGTGGCAATTACTGGTTACTGTTACTGTTAGTGGCAATTGGGTTGCAGTGGTTTTATGTCCCGAACAGAGGAGAGAAAAAATATTAATTTCACACAAATTGCGATCTTATTGAGGTAGTTTTCCTAAAGCAACACAAATAACCAAATTGAAGTTTGAAAATTGACGTGTAAAAATTATATGCTAATTTTTAATAAATAAATTGTCTTAGTACCCCCTAATAAAAATAACCTTAAAAGAGAGCTTAACGACGTGTTCGGGGTATCATCCAAACCATTTGTGGGATAGTTTACCCATCCGGGATACAGTTTGTTTATGGTATTTATTTATTAGGGCCTCCACTACTAGCTCACCCTCTCACCAAACAATATAATTTTCAATAACACTGGACTCTTATCGCCACCGCCAAGTGCAAGACATAAATAGCTTTCATGTGTCACATCTGAGAGGTCC